TAAGCAATCATATCACAATCATAACTATGAACAGTATAAGCAGCAACCATGACCCAATCCCAAAACATGAGCATAATATTCCAACCCCAGCCCCAAACATACGACACAGAATATTGTAACACATTCTGTTTGGTAGATGGATAACCACCAGGATATGTAAAAATCTTTTTTCAAAGAGTTGATATGTAAAAATCTTTCACCTCTGACAATAGAAATCCAAAATACATTGTATTGCCTTTACTTTTTATGGTTCCTTTTGAAAGTAGAATGTCATCCACACCTGGAGATGGTTCAGTGATTACTTTAAATAATAAAAATTTCTAGTGTTCAGTCTATTTTTATCTGCAGTTCACTAACACGTCTTAGTAAACCCATCAGTTTATTCTTTAATTCAATCTATGTTACTTACATGGATTATCTGTATTAGATCTTGGGTTGGAAATGTGATATTAAAAATGTGTATTTTTTTCAAACTGTCCATAATAGGTAACACTTTAATAAATGAAGAGTGCCACTGCAGATAAACTTGTAGGTGAGTGTCCTGAGTTACATCAAACTAGCGCTGTGCCTGGACCTAGCATGGGGCCACCCCCCTGTCACTATAAATTATGATGGGTCAAGGAAAGAATGTTGATTTTATGGATTGTTCTGTGAACTCAGACTATAGCTTGAGGATCTGGGAAAAGAATGAGGAAAAGAATGATGGAAAGGATGAGTTAAAACACAAACACACACACACACACACACACACACACACACACACAACCTTGCAAATATGAACTGTTTATAAGAACATGTCAGACTACCCCATTCTGTAACTGGTATAGAGACTGGTCCATGTTGTGGTAGGAAGCCAGTTAAAAAACTCTACTCGTACCCTGATTATCCTTATAACAAAAATCACAATGGATGTTTCTCATAGTGATAAACCAATAAACACCCCAAACTCCAACGTGGTCAAAGAAAGAGAGACAATGTCAGCAGGATTATCAAATCTTGTCTTGGATTCCTCTTTTCCTTAAAGATATAGAAACCTTGCCCATACACAAAGCCAAACCCAGCACCACCTGCCACCCTCCGTGTGGGCTTAGCTGGGACAGCGCTCCAACCAGGACTCCAGCTGCTGCTGAAGGAAGCCCTGGAAGGGAGCACTGACTGCTCGAAGGCATCTAAAGCACTGGGTGGACGTTATTCCTCCGTCTGCAGTTCTGAAGGCCATTGCCCAAAACCTGACCTTGGAACTACTTGCAGTGTAACTGTTCTGCTGCTTCCTGCAGACAGACACCTTAGAGCATGTGATCAAGGGGTACTCCCCCAAGCCCCTGGGTGTGTCAGGTATATTAGCTTTCTACAGCCAAAAGAGTTCTGAATCCCAAGCACATCTGACCAACACATATTTGATCAGGGCTTTGGGATACAGGCATTGTTCCCACAAGGGTCAAAAGGTGATCTTAAAGACAAAAGTATATGTAAGGCAGCTCTTTCAAATACCAGTAAAGAAGCTTAGGTGAGAAGAACCCAGGTTCCAACCACACTCCATCCTGGAGAACATGGACAACCCATACTTTCTGGCCTCCTTGTCCCTTGGAGAATTGAGATTATAGATACAACACCTGGTTTATGAAGATGATGGTGGGAGGTAGGCAGAGTAAATTGATACAGATTTTAGTGCTGGCCACACCAGTTTCCTGGAGTTTTTTTACATAATTTTGACAAGTGATAAAAACCCAGCTGTACAGTTGGAAGTTAAGTGGAGCCTTTAAGTGGCCCTTTACTCCCCGACCGTGAAGGCTAATACAAGGGCTGAAGTCATGCTTGCTGCGTGATGCAGACAGACAGCTCTGTGGGACACCTGGATGGGCTCTTCTCTGGATTTGGGTCCTCTTCATCAGTCAGTGACACATTGGGGTAATGAGGTGTCATTTTAAAGTGCTGATCCTGTTATTTGAGAGTTGGTAAGGGACTGGTGTCCTTTCTGGGCCAAGGGGTGGACAAAAAACAGTACTCCACAGGTTAACCCAGATAGTTTTTCCTGTTTTGACTTTGAAAAGGCGGGTTTCAGGGAGGAAGGAGGATGAATAATTAACTGCCTAACTACACAGACCAGGGCCTCCTGTGGCCTCCCACTTGCCCTGTTCTCCAGACTCAGGTAATTATTCCTCATCATGCTGAAACCAACAGGAAGGAATGGTGGATGCATTTCTTTCTTCTTCACTTCCCCATACATCCTGTTTTCCCAGGCTTGGGGATTTGAGTTTGCCTTGTGTAAAAATGTCTGCTTCAGGTCAGGCTCTCCTCCCGGCCCTCTGTCCACAGCTAGCAGCACCAGGCTGCTTTGATAGGTCTGCCTTCTTTCCAAAGCCCAGACAGCTTCCAGTGGGCAGAGGTTACAGATAAATCCAGCCTGAAGTTTCAGTTTGGACTTAGCCTGACTGGATTCTCATTACATATGACTTACCTGGTTTGTACACAGGTCACTCACTCTACACGTCTCTCACCTTCTTGAGGGAGACAGGTTGGCGATATATGCCCAGTACCTTGTTCCCATCGAGAACCAACCAGTTACTGCACACAGCCTCAGGGCACTTCAGTTCTATTTTGTTTACCAGACACACAACTACAGGGCAGGAGAGTCCTGTTCAGTTGAGCAATTCCATTCCAGACTTTTCCTTGTATTCCAGGCTCCCGCTCTCATTGTGCAGGTAGTCCCAATTCTCATGAAATGGGAACAAGAGGCAAAGAAAGTTCCCTGGCTCTCAGATACCCATCTCGTGCAGGTAGACAGAGCATAAAATAATCAGTCAAATAATAAGAAGTGAAACGAATGGAGGAGAAGAACGGCAGCTGCACGGGATAGGGCAGTTAGCATCAGGGACCCTCATACAGCCATCTGCTCCGTGCCCATGGGTAAAGCCAAGCAGAGAGGATGGAGGAAATTAGGTGGATAATCCATGGAATCAACTGTTTCCCCTGACATGAAGTTGGTCTTTTACATACTAGCTCCGTGTCAGAAGTTGGCCAGTCACAACTGCATTTGGCCAATGCCAAAACAGAAGTGGGCACTGGTAAAAAGGACATTATATTGCAATATCCAAGATCACTGAGAATAGCTTTGGTGAGTATTCGTTTTACTTGACTCCCAGTGACCTCCTTGTTAGTGTCTTCTTCTTTTTCCAAGAAGTCTCTTCTCATTCCTGTTCATTTTTTCACATAACAAGTATGTACCTTACATGGTACTACTCCATGCCACACATGTTCTAAGTACTGTGGTCACATCATGAATAAAACAGACAACAATGACTGACCTATGATTCTCACTTCCTCAACTAATTCCTTTCTCTTAGTCTGGTCAGGAAAAAAAATCACATGAGAGAATACAGGAAAGTATTGCTGAGAAGTGACATGTGAGAAGAAATGAAAACTTGTTGAGAAGCTTAAAAGAAAAATTTCCTTCCCTGCTCTGGCACTATCCCTACGCCAGGACTCCTAGGCATGCTGTCTTTCAACAAAACTTGGTCTGCCCTAACCTGAGGAGTTGGTACACCAGCTGCCCAAACAGGAAGCCTTATATAATTCGGTAACCCTGACCTTGGGCCCTGAATCTTCCCCTCCTGTAAACAGTCTATTCAACCCAGGAAGGCCTGCAGACTTCACTGGAACAAACTTTGAAAGATACATCGTGTTACAAACATTGAAAAAAACACCATAAATCCTAGAGGAAGTGACATATCTGATTCAGTGGTTGAAATCACTTCATAAACTAATGAAACCAAAAGAAATTTAATTCCAACAGATGAAACTGCCAGGGCAGTCACTTGTGTATGTGGATGACTCAATAGCACCTGTTGGAACGGCTGGGAAAATGAGCCGTGAAATCCTGATCACATTCTCTACTGGAAACAACAGCCCTGCCTGGCAAATTAGTAAGCCTAATGTTCTCAATATCCTGACTTCAACATGTGTGCCTAGTTCTGAGAGACTGTGATTCACCTTAGCTACTGGGCAAATGATTCTTACTCAGAGCCCTGGGTTTTTAACCTTTAGTAGTAAGTGGTTTGGGCAAATTTTACCCAAATGTCTACTTTCAAGATGTTCCTTTGATATGATTGATTTCAGGCAACAACTGGTTCCACATATGGTAACCCTCCATTTCTAATACTATTTAACTTGTTGCCAAGCTTCATTAAAAGTCCAAAATACAAGTTTTAAACCTCAAAGCGCCTGGACTTGGGTCTTCTAAAATGACTTTCCTCCAAACATCATTTAACTTCCTTTAATTTAGTTAATTAATGGAACTTTTTGAAGAGAATGGTTCCTTTGATCTGAGCCTCTTTCTTAGTTTCCAGTTCACATCTCCAGAGAGGGAGAGAAGGGATGGCCTCGCAACTGGCCGGAACTACCAACAGCTCACAACTGCAGTCATGCCTCCGAATCAGAGACAGAGCGGAGGGCAGAGGACCCATGAGGAGGAAGACTGGTGAAAAATACTGCCCTTGGCATTTTTGTGGGTGTGTGCCCCACACAGAGATAAAAGAGCTGGGGGAGTGTGGAGGCTGCAAGGCAGGCTCTCTGGGAAGCTGGGCCTACTGTCTGGAAATCCCAAGTAATCTTTGCAAAGAGGCAAACTGGGGAAACCAGCAATGTAAATTACAAATGCTTCTGCCTGCAAGTTTTCTGCATTCAACATACAAATTCAGATAAAAATGGAAAACACAAGTCTCACCCAGCAGGGATCCTCACTGCCATCCGCCATACCAAATGGCTACAACAGTTCTTGCTTTTCAACTTGCCATCTTAACACAAAAATGTTACTCTGGCAACTGCTTAAAAAGAAATCTGCAATCTCAAACCAGAGATCTTACCCTGAAGCTAGACTAAAATTTTTGTTAAGACGGTAAGTTAAAAAGCAAGACATTCTGACTCTTGATTTCCACTCTTTATGCCTTTTTGGGAGATGAGTTCAGCCAAGATGTCCACCCCTTTCCACGAGCATTACTTACCTTGGAGCAGAGCAGCAGAATTCAAGGTAACATCGGTGATGTTCCAAAGCTTGGCCACCAGGGGACACTGGAGAGCAGGGTTGCCAGCCCTAAAGTACTTTGTTTTCTCAGACTTTTAGTTGGGAAGGAGGGGGATGGGTGTGGGGGTGGTGAGGGAGTTACAGCTGACTTACAAAAAAAAAATTGTTCTCTGAAATTATGCCACTTGCCATTTTGTAAAGCAGAAGTTGCCACGTTACCTGTTGCCAGGTTCCTGAGAGTGCTTGGGGAAAATGTGGGCGAGAAAGGTACAGCACAAAGTCCTTCAGATTGGTGGTTTTCAAGCTCTGTTGACGGGCTGTCGCTGACATTTGGAGAGCAGCTGCCGCGGATTGCCTGCGCATTGTTTGATTGTAGTTCTAACAGAGGAGTGGCTGCGTCTTACATCATTTCCAGGCATGAAGTGCCTGGAGCTTTTTTTTTTCTTCTTTTTTTATGACTAACTTTCTGATCCCTCCCTCTCTGGATTTAGGTACAGTACAGGCACTGTGAGCAACAGACTCACTTCGGGAAGCCCAAGTTTTGTAGCAACTTGTTAAAACAACTTGAGTGCCTCTTTAAAAAAAAAATTGTGCCTAAAACAAACCTTTCCATTCTTCCTTCTGAGAACAATGTTGTGTTTGATTAGCTTCAGAGCACTGCTCCGTGAAAGGTCTGTTCTCCCCACAAGAACGGCTGCTATCAGTTGAATAGATCTCTGAGCCAGACATGTCGAGGCTTGGGGCATTTGTCTGGCATTAGGAAGTGTCTGGAATACTAGTAACTACCAACTGGCATGTCTTATGACTACAAGAGTTATTACACCACCCCTCCCTCTCTGTCCACATTCCCTCTCCTTCCCCTACACGCTCACACAAGCATGCTTTTTTCTACTTCAATGGAGAGAAGGTTAACTAGTCTTTGTGGTTTCCGTGGAGGATGACTTTAGTGGAAATCATTTTCATAACTACATCCCTTGAGCCAAAACTAACCAGGAGAGAAAGCTAGGGGAAGCTCTGTGCCTGTCCCAGCAGCCCGCACCCCGCACCCCACAGCTCGCTGCCTTCTCACCATGACGTGGGCAGGGCAGGGACTGCTGACCGCCACACTTTGGGTGGCCTGTAAATGTTAGGCTGTAAATATTTTGAAACATGGGAGCGATTTTTCTATGTGTATTTTATTTTGTGGAGTTTCTCCTTTTTTTGCAGTATTTTTAAAGTTGTGGCTGGTACACCCCTTGTTGACCACTCCAAATTCATTCATTCTCCAAAGCTTTGACAAGTTCCTGCAGGGCACAAAGAACTGTGCTAGGAGCAGTTTCCTGGCAGTTTCTCATGGAAAGCATTAGGCTTAACTGGACAAGGTGTTGACATGGAAGGTTTAATGAGGGCATGAATACAGGTGGTTTCGGTGAAGGATTAGAGATGAGATGTAGAGTCCTGAGTATGCTAACTGTACCACTTAGTAGCTGAATGATTTACCTGCTCTGAGCATCAGTCTTACTGTGAAACAAATGGGGATAGTGAGATCTTCCTCTGTCATTAGACCACGTCTATTAAATTCTTAGCACAGTGTGCGTTAGAGCAAGGACTTACTCTCTGATGGTTAGGTTGGTCTAATAGCACACCCAGTATACGGACAAATTCTCCATCTCATCATCTTTGTTTTCACCTGGATTTGTGCTTTTATCCTGTGAAGGACCCCAGCCAGACCACTGATTGGCACTGGGTAGAGAGTCCGCCTTGTATAGTGAATCACCGTGGTGGCCCGACCTCCACAATTCACTGTAAGGTCAGCACTTCTGGGCCTACTGATTGGAAGCAGCGGCAGTGATAGCCATTTTGTCCTCGGCTGTGCCAAAACGTATGCCCAGGATGCCAGAACATGTGTCACTGCTACCAAACAGCCTGTTAGTAATTAATCTGGCTCGTCTCTTGGCTTCCTTCTCAGCTCTGTGACATCGCTCTCAGTGGGTCTCTACTGAAATACTTTTTAGATATCCATTCATATTCATAAAGCCACAGTGCTCCAGTTTGAAAGAAACCTTGTCAGCTACTTCAGATGCCCTCAAAATGGTGGTGCAATTTCACTAACTTCCCAACCAAAAGATGAACTTGTCTGTGTTTGAACTTCTGGACTGAGCACTCACTATCCAGCAAGGTCCCCATGTTCCATCTTTGGGCAACTGACTGGGGAAAATTCATTTTTATGCCTCTCTAAGCTTTCACATTGGTCATTTTCCTGGGTCCTTATAGAAAACAAGCCCATGCCATCTTCTACCCAATAGCCTTCAAAATAATTAAAAAGCCCTCTAGCTTCCTTCCCTTGCAAACTGAACAACCCCTTTTGTTCATGGTATGGAATCATGAGAGTAGAATTAAAAAAACAAAAACAAAAAACCTAGGAGAGAAGAAGGGTTTAGGGCTTAGCCCAAAAAGCTAGGAAAGAGTGATGCTGGGAAAAACTGGGGGATTGAATTGTATGAGTTCCTAGGGCAGCCTTGAATGCAAAAGATTTGAGGCATGAGAAGGAAGGGAATTGTGAGAAGTGCGAGCTGCATGTTGGATCTTTCTTCTGCTTCAAAAGGTAATCTGAAAGATCTGAACTCCTTCTCATTCCTATTTGATGACTGGCAGTGGTGCTTGCTTGCCTGACTCCCGCAGCAGAACTGTGCCAAGCTCCACACTGCAGCAAAAGCTCATCCTAAAGCCCCTGGGATGAAACATGGTCGATGGTTCTCGACCTCTATTCAGCTGCCTTATTCAAAGTGGGACAATCTTAAATTCTTAAATTCTTACCTCCTTCGGGCACTGGAGCTGGGCCAGCCTGTTAGGGAAAACCTAAGTGCAGGGTTCTCCCTGTCCAATCTAACCCTGGTAGACTTCTGGCACTGAGGCTGCTCTCTGGACGTTCCCATTGATCAAAGTGCTAGGGGGACTTAAGGAAAATATTAACACTTTCCCCCCCACTTTCTAAGGTCTTCTGGCTGGGCTAATAATCAAATTAATAGAGACAGATTAACAGAAGAAAATGAAAGCTTTAATACATGCACATGGGCAATTCACAGAGGCATGGAAACTCCACGAAAGACCATGAGGCAGCATTGAGTGTATGAGACATTTTTGAACAAAGGGGAAAGGGGAAGCGGGAAGGGGGGATTAGATTTCAGAAGTGAGAATGGGCGATTTACAGGTAGTTGAGGGAGACAGGGAACCTAGGAGTCTGGCAAATTCTTGCTAGGCAACTCAGAAACAATGGGACACAGGGGGTATCTAGCTAAGAGGCTTGGAGTCTTCCTGCTAGGGTGAAGATTCTTAAGGTGATTAAGACAAGGCTCCTTTTAAAGCAGGTTTCTCTGTCTGAATATCTTGGGCAGGATAGGGGGGAGGACAAAAGTTCTTTCTGAGTCTTTTGTTTCTTAATAAACAGCTGAAGATCAATATCCCAAAAAGCAGCTCCCAGGTGGCAAAAATTTGGTTCTCTTCAGCACCCAGAATTATCCCTACGGGAACTGAAGAGGAGCTGACAAGAACCCTCAGATGGCATCAAGTTGCAGTTAGCTCCAGAGAGTGTCCCCAAGTCCAGTTATTGCACTGGGAATGATGTGTCCCTCTACTTCTATGCCATGCTTATCACATCATGGCAGAATTTGTACTATAAGTCACAGCATATGCAATGATACTCTTTCTTGGCATTGTCCAGTTTTGACTGTCCACATTAGAAGAGGAAATTGGGGTAGCTAACCACAAGCAGTAAATCATCCAAAAGATTAGACATTTGATGTTAGAATATGGCATTTAGTTTCTTTGGAATATGAGCAGGCCAAATGTCCTGACAAACCATTTTGAAGAAAATAATGAGTTCATACTGTAAAGCCTTGTCTTGGGAGAAAAAAATAAATAATCTAGTCTCATTTGAATCAAATAGATTCTATCCTAATTATGGTCACTTCCCGCTCTCATCCACTCTGGTCTTCAGATGAACAACCGAGACTGAGTATTACCCTGAGCAGGGCTATCATGTTCGTACCTCCCTAGGAAGCAGAAGGTAACTCTGCCAATAGGGACAGTGAGTGAAACTAAATTGAGTGAGGTGAAATATCGATAGTGCTCACCTGGCATTACTTGGCCAGAAGCTTCGCTGCAGCCCATGGGAGAACCTGAGACCAGACTGGTTCTGGACCTTGCTCTGCCTGCACCTTGCAGGCCCTGTGAGCCTCCACTGGTCACGGTACCTCTCAGGACTGCTCATTGTTGCACTCTGTGCCAATGTAAAGCTGTGTGTTTTACTCAATAATCCTAAATGGAAGGGCTTCGTGAGGTGAGCCTCTACCAGTCATCCATCCCAGATAACTGACAGGTAACATATGTATTATTCACAGTGCCCTTCCCCCCGTCCACAAGAGCACATATGATATTGTAAAGTGACATCTGTGTGGGATTTTTTCTTCCCCTCTCAAGCAATCTCTGGGAAGTAGCCAAACATCTCTGTCCCTATGTCTTCTATATGGTTAAGGAAATTGCTCTGAATCACAGGGCAGTGGAACAGAAGGACAGTATAATAGGGTCTTTCTGTTTATTGTTCAGCATTGGATGCTTCCTTTGAGTGGCCTCGGGAACCATCCTAGGTATTGAAGTGAATACTTAAGATGTACTTGCTTTCCCTCCGCAAGATGGCCCCAGTGCCAGCTCGAGCCGGGGGTTAGGAGTTGGGAATGTGTGGTCAGGACCAGCTGATGTGGTGGAATAACAGTGACACAAGCTGGGTGGAAAAGGAACATGTAGGTTGGGGGTGGGAGTGGGGTGGGGAGTGAGTGATGGAAACTCTACAGTTTGAACCATGTTTTAAAGGGACTAAACAAAGTCTTTAGAATGCTGATTAAGGAATTGTTCTTTACTGGTAGGGAGTTCCCACTTGAACACTTAATAATTCATTTTGATTTGTATTTTTCTATAGCATACTACACATATAGAAAGCTGCAAACCAGTATATAAAGCTTCTTCAAGACCCTCAGGGTTATAATCAGATGGTTGGAGAGAAGCCCTAGAGGCTGCTTCAGCTGGAGCCTCAGGAGGACCTTAACTAAATCCACAGGTCCAAGAAGGACCCCTCACTGCAGAGTTGATCAAGTCACCCCAAAGGACAGCACATTAGGGGGTGGGTCCAAACAGACCACACACAGAGAGACTGCTGTATAAACTGCTGTGTACATTTATTTTACAACAGGAGACTTCAGGGCAGTGTATTCCCTCTTACTAAGTAGTTCTGCTCAGAAACGACAACCAAAAAATTCAAAGCAGAAGTTTATGTAGTGAGCACCTATGCAGAAAGAGAGAGACAGAAAAGAGAGGGAAAGAAGGAGGGAAGGAGGGAGGAAAGGGAAGGGAAGGGAAGGGAAGGGAAGGGAAGGGAAGGGAAGGGAAGGGAAGGGAAGGAAGGAAAAACTGGATGTTGATAAAGCAAATAGCTGGAAGCTATGCCAACATGCTGTGTACTCCCATCCTACCCAGGCACCTCTTATTGTTACTAGGATTATACATGTTCACAACCTCTGTGCTTTCCTTCTTCTTTTTCCAGTGTTTATCATCAACCATCAGAATCTTCTTTATTGAGTTACTTTGTTTAATATTACCTCTATTTGATGTTTTCTGGAGAAGGCCTGACCCATGTGTACACATTATCCCTCAGGGTGTACTGTTGCCTGGGAAGATTTCTACAGATGGCTAATCATGTCTATTTTATGTTGATGCATATTAATTTCCATTTCAGAAACTTCCATCTCAGAGATCGGTGTTTTCCAGTCTTTTGTCCCCTCGATTTTGTGGAGATGTCACCTCATAGAGGGCCCTGAGGGCCCAAGCAGGAATTTTACTTAGTTTGTCAATGGACTTGTGCTCATGTTAAGTGTCTTAGTGTGTTTCACATGCTCTGATTTCCAATGGATGTCAGTTACAATATCAGAAATTAAAACCCATGCAGCAATCACAGTGTCTTTGTTTTCACTGTCTTCCAGTGTCATCTTGCATTACAACATATAAGAAGACACCACCTCCAGTCCCACCCAGAACTACCACGAAACCTTTCATTTCTATCACAGCCCAGAGTAGCACAGAGTCTGCCCAGGATGCCTACATGGACGGCCAGGGCCAGCGAGGAGACATTATCAGCCAGTCTGGACTGAGCAACTCCACGGAGAGCCTGGACAGTATGAAGGCTCTGACAGCTGCCATCGAAGCTGCAAACGCCCAGATCCACGGCCCTGCAAGTCAACACATGGGCAACAACCCTGCCACTGTCACCACCACGACCACCATCGCCACCATCACTACAGAGGACAGGAAGAAGGATCACTTTAAGAAAAATCGATGCCTGTCTATTGGAATACAGGTAACAGGCTCTCTTTCTGTCCTTGGAAATAGAAACCCCAAACTAAGAAACATGGCTTTTTATTTTCCCAGATTTGCTGTCTTGCCATTTTGGATGATATAGGTATGTCTAGGACCCGATTTTCAAATTATTGTCTCTGAACTCCCTACATTGTAAACACGATGAAAAAAAATTAGGAAGGCATTCGTCTATAGATATTATTAGCAGCTGTTGTTTTTGTTCTCTAGATTGAATGTGTGGCCCCGAATGGAGGATAATTAGACAAACACTAGCATGGTCAAACACAAAGTGCCCTCAATTCCTAATGCACATTGTGATTCTCAACAAAGGAGTGCACATCCAAGAATAACCAGGGTTATCGGGTTGTGTTACTGTACCTTCAACACCCTTGAGTAGCCAGATGAGAACAAAAATGTGAGTCATTCCTCATAGATGTGGGAGGGAGAGCAAGACCAAAGAGCCTGATGGTGTGGAAAGCAGTAACTCACAGCACAGCATCAAAAGAAAAGAATGCACAGCAGTTTCCATGTAATTGTTGGCTATTTAATCAAATGTCTCATAAAAGTCATCAGACTTCTCATTTACTTCGCTATTTTCTGCTCTTCAAATATAACATCAAACTGATTCCTTCTTTTCACATCTACTCAGCTTGTCTTACCCTGCTAGAAATTTCCTTCTATCAATGGGGAGAGTCATTCTTCTCCTCGCCCCGTCCCCCACCCCCCCCTCCCGTTTTGTTGGGCCATGTCACTCTGCAGGCTCCCTTTGAACAGTAACTTCCTGATGCGGTGTGCAATAAATCTACCCACACTGAACCAATACTAGGGCACATCTAAAAGCCAGGTGTGGAGTACATTTTCACAACAGTGATATATTTTCACAGTCCGTTGTGCAGAATCCACTTTTAAAGGGTAATTAAACTTTCTCTAGTAGTGATGAGTCAAATGCTTTTTATAACCTGAGGTTACCACAACACAAATTGTCAAGCGTCCTAAAAGAACCTGTAGCCTTGGTGCTTGGGACAACATGACACAGCAGGAGGCATGGGCGCAAAGCCAGCCTCTGCCCCAGACGGTGCACAGCTCCCTAGAAGCTAATGCTCCTCCCACCACCCAAAGGATTTGGAGGAGTGGGGGAAAGCAGAGGTCAGTCCTCTGTGTCATCCTGGCAAATGACTTCATCTTCCTGAGCCTGTTTCCTCTTCTATCCCTCATAGGGTTATTCTGAGAATTAAGTTTACTAAATCCTCTTCTGATGGAGGTACAGAGACTCAATGAGTAGGATAGTGGTAATGGCAGCACAGCAATGTGAATATAATTAATACCCCTGGAACTGTTTTAAAAATGGTTAAAATGGAAACTTTTCTTTACATATGTTACCACGATTTTAAAAATCTACCTTAAAATACAGAGGGAAAAATCTCAAAATATAAGTTAATAAATGGCAAAAGTATATGAACATCCCATTATGTCAACGTCATTAACTGTTCAATCTAGGAGTCATAAAAATTTCCTTATATTGGAAAATAATTTGTAGATTTGCATAGTGGTTAAAAGCATAGATTCTTGAAGCCAAATGACTGGTGTTGAAATTCTGGCTTCTCCATTTACTGTGTTACTTCCAGCATGTTATTCAACCTCTCTGAACTTCAGTTTCCTCATCCTCTGCAATCTTACATATAAAATGGATAATTATATCACTGCCTCATAGACTATTGAAAAATTAAATGAGCAAAATACTTAAAACAGTGCTTGACACATTCTAAGAACCAGATATGTATTAAGAAAACATTTTCTAAAGGAAGAGCAAATTTTCTTTTATTTGTAGATAATACACAGGACTGCATAGAAAAGCTAATGGAAACTGCTGAAAAACTATTAGAATTCAATAGAGTAAAAGAGTACAATATAAATACAGAAAAATCAATAACTTTTTAATATATTAATAATAAACAGAAAATGGAGCAAAAAAGTCCATTTACAATAACAATAGAAACTATAAAAGAACAGATTAAACTTCATAAAAAATATATAATACCTATCTAATGTCTAAAAACAAGTTCATTTTGAAGATTTTGATACCTCAAAATAATATAGAGACTTTGGGAGTTTTTTTTTAAATTACATTAAAAAATAATTACAGGATGAGATTGCCATAAAAAATATCAAGATTTATTATGAAATTACCAAAACCAGGCCTGTATCGATGGAAACAGAACACAAGAAAGTTGGCATCTGAAATCAAAAAGATTAATTAGTAGGAACCAGATCCATTGGTGATACGTGTATTTGTGGGAGGGGCAGATTATTAGAGCCCCACTTTATATCTTACACAAAAATGTGTTAGGATAGTGGATTTAAAAAGTAAACATGAAAAAATGATAGGAGAATAGTAAATACAACAGGACTTTAAAAAAATAAACTTAGGGTAGGAAGCCTTTCTAAACTATAAATGCTAGATTGACTACATAGTAATTCAAGATTCTCTACAATGAAGGACAAAATTTAAAAGACAAAAGATAAATGAGAGAAAATATTTACTATATATATAACTGAAAAAGTGTTATTACAGGTTATAAGATATAAAAGAGCTCCTATAAATAAAACAAAACACAACTCAATAGATAAAAACAAAAAACTAGCAAAGGTTATGAATAAGAAATTTATAGATAGTCCCAGAGGACAATAGATATTTTTGACCTGTGATATTAGCGAAAATTTAAAAGTTTGCCAACATTTACTATTGGTGAGGGTGTATGGACATAGAGACTCCCACACACTGATTATGATAGGATGATAAATGCGTTTTTTAAAAGGTTTTATTTTTTTTTAGAGAGATGAGAAGGGAGGGAGAAAGAGAGGGAGAGAAACATAGATGTGTGAGAGATACATCGACTGGTTGCCTCTTACACGTCCCCAACCAGGAACCTGGCCCACACCCAGGCATGTGCCCTGACTAGGAGTCAAACTGGTGACCCTTTGGTTAGCAGGCTTGGCACTCATACACACCAGTCAGGACGGATGATAAATGCTTTTAAGAACAATTTTGCAATATCCCTTACAACTGAACCTGCTCAGTACCTTCCATTTAACATTTCTACGTCTAAGAATTTTTCCCAATCAACAGTTTCACAACTGTTCCAAAGATTCATATGAAATATTAAGTGTAGTACTATATGTAATAGCAACAAAGAGAGAATTACCTTGAGGCCCATGTTGTTTATATGGTCATTAAAAGAAATATTTATGTAACCAAAAAAAAGATAAAGGTAGACCTATATTTACTAACATGGTAAAATGTCCAAAAGATAGAAGTGTTAATGAATAAAGCAAATTGCAGAAAACCATATATAGTATAATCTCATCTGTATAAATTTTGTATTAATACTCACTTTTATATGTAATATATATTAAAAGATGGTCAAATGTGCATCAAATGATTGACAGTAATTCTTGAGGGACTTCAGTTTTTTATATTATATATTTCTGTATTTTAATTTTATATAACTTACATTGAATTGCTTTTATAGGTAGCAAAAATAATTTATTAAATACATTGGAAAAAAGAGAAATAAACCTCTTTGCTCTGAATAATCATAGAATTTATTTCAAATTTGGCTTAATCTTAGATTAGGCCTAATCTATCACATAGGCTCTCAGTTACATACAGACATGTTTTCCATATGAGCTGCAATATAACTATTTAGAAACCATGGCATAATATTCAGCCAATTCCTTAGTTTAAGGGGAAAACAATGAAGATACTCTATAGTTTATCTTAATGAGGTAAACACCTAAGCCTCCCAATATTAATAATTCTTACTTCAATAAATTAATTTTCTTCCTTCTTTTTATTTTGTTATCTGCAAATTTTGAATGTCCAAAGACATATTTCCATCTAGTGCTCACAGGTAACTATGTATGAATCTATGGGGGAATCATAGACATTTATTAGGCACTTTTTAAGTGACTGATGTTGCATTTTATGGAGATCAGCAGAGTCAAAATGCATGATATAGTAATGTAGTGATGGCTCTCATAAAATACAAAAATATTAAAGAAAACAATTACAAATCACAAAACATTCTAGTGCAGGTGTTTCTAATGAAAAGTGATATTTGTTCTTCAAATTAGATAACTAAAATAGAGCACCTCTACATTCTTCAGGTGGATGATGCTGAAGAACCTGACAAAACAGGGGAAAATAAAGCGCCCAGTAAGTTCCAGTCCGTAGGAGTGCAAGTAGAAGAAGAGAAGTGGTGAGTCCACATGTGTTCATCCTCTTTCATCTTGATGTTGGCAAGTATGGTACAAGTATGTTTCCCCACGATAAACCAATAGGAATCAATTATATTTTCCATTAACTTTTGGGAGCATATAAAGGGTAAGATTGAAATGATATTAGCTGATTCCCTTCTCTACTTTAAAGTAGAGGCCACTCAATTTAAGTTTTAGCTGGAACAGTAGAGTAGACACATCACATTCACATACACATAAACAGTATATATTACTGTTGTGTTGCAAAACTCCGCCTGTTCAAAAAAACATTCCTGTTTGGCACTGTAAACTTTTCAAGAGAAGAGGACTTATTTTATTCCCTCTTTCCCCCGGCACTTAATAATGGCTGGTGTTTAAAATGCGCTCAATGAATGATAAACAATGAATGAATGAATGAATGAGGAAGAGGAAAAAGAGAAAATTTCCTATTATTATCCTAAATCAACCGTTCCTTTAGAATATTCTTTAAAATAAGCTTACTCTAGAGTCATAGGATCTGGAAATGGGAAACTTAGGGCTTCAGAAAATTATCGAATCCACAAGGTATTACTGAGGTCAGTACATTTATTTTGTAAATGAAAACTTGATCCAGAGAGGTTTGTGAGTTTCTTGATCAAACTGTGAGGGCCATATGTGTGAAACTATATATAATTGACAATAGTATTCCCAGCTTCCAGAATTGTGCTTTGCACATAATAAATATGCAGCAAATATTAGTAAATAGAGTAACACTGCAGTTACAGTAAGAAAAAGAGCTCTATGTTATAAATCAGGACATCATCTAAACTCAGTCACCAGCATTCTATGTGTTAATTAGGAAGAATCGGTTAAATGCCATCCATCCACCATCTATCGTCCATCCATTCAATAAGTATATATGGAATGTCTCCTATGTGCAGGGCTGCCTGTAACACATACTGAAAATCTGAAAGGAAGTCATGCATCAGTTCATGGAAGGAATCCTATTTCAGAGCTTCCTGGTATTAACTCTGTTCTTGCATTTAAGAGTTTTTTTAAAAAATATATTTTTTTTATTTATTTTTTAGAAAGAGGGGAAGGGAAGGAGAAAGAGAGGAAGAGAAACATCAGTCTGTGGTTGCCTCTCACATGGCCCCCACTGGGGAGCTGGCCCGCAACCCAGGCATGTGCCCTGACTGGGAATTGAACCAGCGACCCTTTGGTTCACAGCCCACACTCAATCCACTAAGCTACACCAGCCAGGGCCATTTAAGAGGTTTTCTATGTAATTATATTTCATATAATTATATAATGCAAGAAGCCCAGAAAATTGGTATAACTCTTTTGGAAACTATTATGACAAAAATTAGCAATACTGATGTATCTGTCCACACCCATTGACCCAGGAATCACATTCATGGAGCTATCCTGAATGAAGTTAGTCAATGGAAGGGAAACATGTATGGAACACTATCTACTATTGAAAAAGAAAAATGTTAATTATCAAATGTCAAACAACAGGAGAATGCTTTTGTAAATTATAGCACATCATCACCAGAGAAAATATTACACAGCTATTAAATGTACATTAATTTGTAAAGAAAATATGAGAAAATTCCCATGATACAATGTTAAATTAAAAAGTTGAACACATAATATCCATGTATAATTTTCATAAACATGGACAAAGACTGAAATGTAATCTTGTAAAAATGGTAAGTTTAGAAGTGGTTTTCTTCTGTTACTCTAAAATATTTTCTTATTGTATTTACTGCAAGTGTTAGTAATTATTATTTTTAAGTCAACCTTTCTGACACATGTTTCTTTAGTTAAGTGTTTTAGAAATTTTTTTGAAAATGTCAACTTAGGAGACATGGAAGATCTCATGGTAAGGAAACACATGTATTCTGTCCAGAAGGCATCCAGCCATATACTATGAAAAATAGAGACATTCATTTTTTAAAGAAATTATTTATTTACTTATTTACTTATTTATTTTTTACTTATTTATTTATTTATTTATTTATTTATTTATCTTTAGAGACAGGGAGGGAGAGAGGAAGGGGAGAAACTTCAGTGTGTGGTTCCTTCTTGTGTGCCCCCTACTGGGGACCTGGCCTGCAATCCAGGCATGTACCCTGACTGGGGAATTGAACTGGTGACCCTTTGGTTCACAGGTCGGAGGTCAGTCCACTAAGCCACATCAGCCAGGGAAATAGAGACATTTACTGATGAAGAAGAAATATTCTACACAGGACAATGACGCTTTAGTCCCTTCAAAGTAGGCATGTTGGGTCCACACACAGTCCTACCAGTCACCACTAGCTGCCCGGTTGTATTTTCCTGAATCTCCCTGACAGTCTGAAATCTCTTCCTTTTCAAAGATGATTTTAGTTTTGGGAAAAGCCAGAAGTCGCAGGATGCCAAATCTGGGCTGTAAGGGGGCTGAGTCACCTGAGTGAATTTATATTTTGCCAAAAAACTCTACATGAGATGTGATACATGAGTGGGTGCATTGTTATGAGGAAGCTACCAATCACGGCCTTCTAAATCAACCAAATAGTTTCCATGGAAGGATGTACAAGCTTAACACAAAATTTAATGCAGATTCATTGCTCTACTCACTCAGTCATTTTTAATGCAATGGCCACACAGTATACATGCTCACTCAACAGCGTCTACCGCCCCCACTGACTAGTACAGTGAAGTCATCATTGTTCACATATTTGCATTCCAGTCTACTCTCCTTAGCTGCCAGGTTACATAGATGTTGCACAAACTGTTCTAGTTATATTAATAATGTCTGGGTTTTTTTCCAGACAGACCTTGTATTTCTTCTTCACTCACCAGCCTGACTTGCTTGTTTTCCTCAGCGGTGTAGTGGTTAAGAACCAGTGGTCTTGATCCAGAACACCTAGATTCAAATCCTGGCTCTGCCACATTGCCACTGGGGGGACTTCGTCAAATAACTAAAAATCTTTGTGCCTTGTTTCCTTATATGTGAAAAGGATATTATCTGTGAAAGAAACCACCCTGTGAAAAAGGGCAGTTTCTGATCCAGCATGTAAGAAGCTTAGAAGTCACCATTCTGTCCTAACAAGTGAAACACTGAACAAATTGAAAAATCAACAACTCTTCTTAAATCAGTCAGAGAAGTGAAGTCACAGGGCATACCACTTCCCCGGGAACTGGAGAGACAGTTAAACAGATACAGAGAATCGGAATGATAGCTTACTAGAGTAGAACCCAGAAGCAGAACCCTTTGTGGGAACCAATTATCAGGGCAGGAAAACCTAAACTGTAATTGACAAATTGCTGGAGGCTCAGTGTGGCTAAGTCTGAGAGTCCAAAACCTCAGAGGGACCCAGCTACACAGGGGGACTACCACACTCTTTACCTCGAGGTAAAACTCTACCAGTTCTTCACAGCAAATACCAAGAAAAATTCCATCCAGAGAAAGAGGGAAAGGAACTATTTTTAAATATACCAGAATACTTTGTTATTAACAGGTCTGCTCTCAGAAGAAACTATTTTATCAGAGCCTAACCTGCCTGGGCTTCATCAGAGCCTAACAGACCTGAGGGAAAGGAAACACCCAACCCTAGCGCCCTCTATCCATTCTGTCTCACACAAGGGGAAGAAAAGCTGAGAAGTTTCTCAGCTGTTGAAGGGCAGGGGCACAGGATCACCCACAGGCTGAGACCTGGTCAATCAGAGTGCTTCCTCACCTCACCACCACATCAGGAAAGGCCTGCTCACTACAGTTCCTTTGCACAGGACATCATATCTACTTTTCAATAATAATGTATAAAGCTTACTAAAATGTAAAAATCAAACAAGCAACAAGAACAAATAACACCCCAGTTTGATGTTACTGAACCAGCATCAGAACCAGAGCATATATGTGGCAAGAATTATTTGAATTATCGGACCAAGAATTTTTTTAAACTATGGTGAATATCCTAAGGGCTTTAATGGAAAAAGTAAATAGCATGCAAGCAGAGATGGATAATTAGGCAAGGAGATGGATTCTAAGAAAGAATAGAAAAGAAATACTAGGGATCAAAAACTCTAACAGAAATGAAGGACCAGACACACCTGAGGATCTCTGAGCTTGATGATGTAACCATAGAAATTTGCAAAACTGAACAAAGAGAAAAAAACATGAAAATAATAATAACAGAATATCCAAAAACCATGGTGCAATTATAGAATATGTAATAAATACACAATGAGAATACCAAAAGAAAAGGAGACATACAGGAATAGACATAATATTTGAATCTGTGGTAACTGAGAATTTTCCTGAATTAAAGTCAGAAAACAAAGCACAGATCCAGGAAGCTCAGAGAAGACCAGGCAGGATAAATGCTCAGTATGCTTTACTTAGACACATCACACTCAAGGAAAGTCAAAAGGAAAAACTCCTGAAAGAAGTAAGAGGGAAAAACCACCTTTCTTATAGAGAGGCAAAGATAAGAATTACATGCTACTCTTCCTCAGACACCATGCAAGTAAAAAGAGAGTGAAATAAAGTATTTAATATTTGAACCCTGACCGGTGTGGCTCAGTTGGTTGGGTGTCATCCCGCAGAGCAAAAGATCACTGGTTTAACTCCCAGTCAACACACATGCCTGGGTTCCAGGTTTGGTCCCCCGGTCAGGGTATGAGAGGCAACCAATCCATGTTTCTCTCTCACATTAATGTTTCTCTCCCTCTCTTTCTCCCTCTCCCCACCTCTAAAAATAAATAAATAAAATCTTTTTAAAAAGTATTTAATATACAAGAGGAAAAACCCATCAACCTAGGTTTCTGTACTCTGAAATTAGTCCACAAAAATGAAGGAGAAATAATGTCTTCTTCAGGCAAACAAAAATTGAGGAAAGTTTTTGCCAGTAGACATGCCTTGTGAGAAATGTTAAAAGAAGTTCTTCAGAAAGAAGGAATATGTTGTAGGTCAGACACTCAGATCTACATGAAGAAAGGAAGAATGTTTGAAAAGGAATAAAAATTTTTATTTTTC